AGGGTGTTGCCAACTTCCCTGTACGACCATGACTGTTCTGGCTTCCCCTCATGCACCCCCATTCCAGTCCCCGTTTTCTTTCGCTCAGCGTCGTCCGGAAGTTCCACCGCATGGCTCCGCCTCGCATTGTGCACAGACTCGTACAATCCCTCCAGTTTCCCCGGTGCGCTCGTCGTCGTTGGGTTCCTCGCCTCCTCGGCAGCTGCATCCAAGAAATGTTTGGTGGAGTTATGAACAGCTGCTTTTACGTCCGCAGCAGCCAATGACCACCCCGGTGGATTGTTGACACCCTTATCGCATAGCCTGCGTATATCCTCGTCGAAGACCACTTCACCCTTTACAGCTCGCTTCATACCCAAATAACGACCTGATGCCTGTATCTCGTTCAACGCTCCTTTACCACGGATATACCTCGTGGGGTCCTTGAAAAACTCCTCCAGTAAGACATCCCGATTGGTGTCCACAATGCCCCTGCCGTCCAGTTCCCTCGTAAGAAAGTCGTTCAGCTTCATTACGTTGACGCAAGCTCTTCCCTTAAACAGTACCTCTTCGACATTAGTGGAAATGGTAAATTTCATTTCTTGCGTTCCTCTTAGCCTTTCCGCTGCCTCCCGCCTCGCTTCTGTCGGTACCTGCGTGAGTACTACGTTTGGTGTTCTTCTTGCAAGAGGAGTGATCGTATGCTTTTCCTTCATAGTCCCTACGTTGCCCGAGAGAGTGCACACCTTCGTGAAGAGGCCTAGTAATGGCCCCCAGCGCTTGGGGCGCAGTTAAGTTAAGAATTTCTTCAAGAAGCCGCTGGTCTTGTGCGTAATCATCCGGCTCCTGAACAAACAACTCCATCGTCACATTGTGGTCTTTCATCAACGGCCGCCTGCCGCCAACATAATTCCGAAGGAAATCACTCAGCCTCATGTTGGTGCTGCTCATGGTCCACTGCGGCCACACTTTACTCTCCACCACATGTCGAGCTGCAGCGTCGGAACCATCACAAGAGCCGCTGCAAGGCGCCATCACAACACCCGTGCGGTGAAGCATCCCACTCGCACCGCCCAACTGCGGCATGCAGGCGCCGCTGGCTCCAAAGGACAGTCGCGGCTGTTTCCTCCCGCAGTCCCAATGGCGTTGGGCGTGGCACTCGCACGGCAGGGTGGTCGGTGCGCCGTGCAGCCGCACTGCAACGCCTGTCGGTGAAGCAGTCGAGGCGTGCAACCGGCAAAAACACCGTCACATCATCGCCCTTTTTCATTTTATTTACGTTTTCTGTCTGTTTGCCCCATCACCGACACCAAAAATAAGTGCGCACCTTCACAAAAGGGAAGAAACAAAGAGAAAAGGAGGCACGATCTCACCGTCCCGCCGCGGGCCAACACTCTCCTCCACCCTCCACCATTGCCGCGCAGAGGACCGCAGTCACATCGCAGAGTCAGCACCACAATGTGCACCACACCATCGTGCAGTGAACAATGGGCGAGACGCAGCCACGCATCGCCCCGCTCCATTTTCCCACCACTCAAGTGTTGCGTGCCCGCACAAAATAGCAAACAGAATCAGAGTGCACGCAAACCCAATCAACACCTTCACTCGCTGAAGCACATTATTCGCATGGAGTGACAACATTTGGGGACACACCAGCAGTAGCTGGCTGCATGGAATTTCCCTGCCAACCCCGCAAAGAGACACAACAACTCTGCGGAGTAAAGGTGGCAGCCCCTCGGTGTTGCCCGCAGTCCACATGGCAGGAAGAATCCCACGCACGCATAGTTCCGGACTCCTCGCTGTTTGAGTGCCCAACAGAACATGTGGAAAAATACGTGTGCGCAAGATGGAATTAAATGCGTAAAAAGTCGGCCTGCTTTCTCCGATGGCGTTGGCGAGCAGTCCCACACAATCCAATCAAAGTGGCACGCCGGACAGAATGGCGTCCGTCAATCAATAAAAAAATGCGACACTGAAAAGGAGCAGAGACGAGTTGGCGCATGCGATTGCCAGCGACAACTGTGAGCAACCCGCCAGCACCAACTGAGGTGCCGAGGAGCACGCTTGTGTGGAACTGGCCGTCAGGCAGAGAGGACAAATAAAACAAGAGGGCAGCAAACCCTCTCGTTCAATGTCTCCTGACCGCGACACCAGAATCAAAATACCATAGACGACAAGAGCGGCAACGCCTTCTCCAAAACATCGTGTCAAGAAGCCGCAGGACCTCAGGAAGAGAAGAAGGCAGCGGCGGCAGCCACAGCGGGGGAGGCGATAAAACGGCTGGCAGGCCCCTTCACGTAGACGCGCACACCACATCCGCGTGGGCCGGGGGCGCAGACCGAACCGCTCGGAAACACACGCATCAAATCCGCAAAACAAAGTCGCAGTGAATCGACAGGAACTCCCCGCCAAAAACAAATTTAAAAAGTAGCGTTTTTCAGGGGGGAATCCGCTTTTCCGACGACGGCACGGACGCCTCGCAGGAACTTCTTGCAAATCTCCCTTCGCAGGTCCGCATGAAAACGCAGCGGAATAAAAAGCAAGCGCAACGACGCAAAAACAATAATCCTCCTGACCGACCAGGTGGCGGGCCGCCCTCGCGCAAGTGGACAAAACACAACTTCACTTCGGCCTTGTCGTGGTGGTCGTCTCGCAGCATTTTCTTCCTTCTCGTCGCAGTGCACATCCCCCTCCCACAAATCATTTGTTCAGGCCATGTTCCTGCGGCCAAACATCGCGCTGCTGGATCCCGCGGCACAGTCCTCGGCACAGAAGTGAGGGAGGAAGAGGGACCGCAGAAGGTGCGAGCAAATCCGAATTCGGTGGCGGTCGCTGCAGTGAAGATTGACGTCCCACGCGGTGTCCCTTTTCTGGGTCCGGCCCTCACCGTGCCATGCTCTCAGCGTGCGGTGCGCCGGCCGCTCCAAACATCCACACGTGCTTGCGTCTCACCGTCGCTCCCAGCCCCGTTCGTTGGCTGCATCAGGGATGCCGCCATCCAGAGACGGGCATAAGGACGTTGCTTCCAACAAAACCCTCGGAGGCACCCGCTGGGCCAACGACGACCGTCACTGCGGGATGTGTGGCCCTTCCGCCGCTCACCTCAAATCGCACTTCTACGCCTCCTCAAGCAGCAGCAGCAGCAGCATAAATACACCGGTCCACTAGTGGCCCTCACCAGCCATTGCAGGAAGACCACTGTGCCCCAGTGCCATGAAACCCATATTGCATTGACGGGCCACTTCGTAAAACCCTGTCGCATCCTCCCCATTACGCGGAAACACATCCGTCGTGCATGTGGCCACCGCAGCCAAATGAATCCGGTCCAAACACCCTCCAAATCAAATTCCCCTTTCCTCAAGCCATTCCTTCATTCCATGCGCCCTGACCCTCATCCGCACGTGCCCACTCACACAAGCCGCAAAAGAATGGTGGTGGCCGCCCAACGCTCCGGAAACACATGCCCAGCACGCACGCGCATAACGGCGGAGAAGCGCACACCTAAAAGGATGCGGCCCTCCACAGCAGTCGCAGCCCATCGCGCGCATCACACCCGCAGGAAGAGTGACTCGCCGTGCTCTCCCTCTCTCCTCCCCTCGCTTCATGCCCACAGAGGAAGCAGCAGCCACCCGCAACCGCCAGCACACGCCACAAAAGAAGCATCCAAATCCACTGCAATCTGCATGCATGTGGTTGTGTGTGCCTGCAGGCACACGAGGCAAAGAAGTGAAAACAGGAGCAGAGCATGTGAGGGGACGCACAAACAAAAATGTACAGCAGAAGTGCATGGCAGAAATAGCAGGACTGCTCAAGCTCATGATACTGCACTGCAGACCAAAGCAGCGGCAATTCATAAAAAATTTATTAAAATCAAAAAAAAATTCATCCTCACCTTCCACACCTCACACTTTGGAAAAAAAAAAATTTTTGAAAAAAATGAAAAAAGTCGTCCTCTATTACGGCCACACCCAAATAATAAAAAAGAGAAAAAAAGAAAACCCACACACACAAAGGTGCACCCAACTACCATGTTGCTCCAGAAACTGTCTGTAGATATTCTGTCCAAAAAGAAAATCGAAAAGATATTTACATCTCTTTCAGCCGTCCGACCCTCCGTGTGTCCGCACATCGTTTATATTTCATGGGGTCATCTGCGTGTTGCTGCTCCCTTCAGTCCTTTTATTGGTGCGTGAGTGCGGCCCGCAGAGCACAGTCACTCGTGTGTGTGGGGACTGAGAGAAGCACGCAGACATGACGGGAGTCGCGTCACTCCATCGGGAGAGTGAGCGCAGCAAAAGAAAGAAATCATCAGGAGGGAAAAGAAATGCTCACGAGACTGCCAGCGCGTGAAATAAACACAAAAAACAAAACAAAAGAAAAACACGGCGGCAGGGTGTGGCTGTGTGTGCAGCGCTGCGGGTGTCTGCCAGCCCTGGCCGCAAAAAAACAAAACAAGAGGGAAGAAATGTGTGCTCCGCCCCACAGGCCCTCGTCGCACGCCCACACGTCACGGCTCCCTCAGCGCGCCGTTCGTCGCGGCCCCGCCTCATGCGTGCAGCAGGCGAGGCGCACAGGGCCGTCGTCATGAGCGTGTCGGTGGGTGTGCGGGTGGAGCAGTTGGGCGGAAACACACGGCACCCCTCGCAGGAAGAGTGCAGAAGAAACAATTAAAGAGGGAAGAGTAGAAAAGAAAAAACGTCCATAGTGACTGCCCCAAAAAAAAAAGAATGGAGAGTGGAGAAAAAAAAAAAACAGAAATAAAAATTTTTTTTAAGCAAACAAAAATGATTAAAAACAGACATAAAAAAACATGAGAAATTATACTCCTAACAGAAAAGAAAATTAAGAGCCGGAAAAAAAACGCTTACAATGGTTGCCCCAAAGCAGCAAGGGGAAAATGGAAAACATTAAAAGAAAACAAAAACAAATTATTCTCTGCGTAGTAAATTTTATTCCTAGCGGTGTGTGTGAGTGTCCTGCAGGGAATGGCACAAGTGCTCCACACTGAGGCCGCACACTCCTCACGCAGCCGCAAAACCCCACAGCCCCAGCAGAAGCAGCAGCGGCAGCAGTCCGCTCCCAGCAGAATTCAAGCTCACCTCTGGCACAAAGAATTGCACATCCTCAGTCCGAGAGGTATTCTTCTTTGCCGCTCCACCCTCACTCACTTCTTCAACTGCATGGGAGTCCAATTTCATGGGCACCGCTGGAGCTGCTGAATTTTTCTCTGGGCCAGACACAGCAGATGCGATGGTTTGAGGAACACCTCCCGCTTGTGATTCCGGAGCTCTCTTTGGAACGGGTATCCTTTCCTTGATTGCAGTCATCTCAGTGGGATTCAGTGGGCGGTTGTACAGCAAGACGTTTGTCACCGTCGCATGGGATTCTTGTTCGTGCCCACCGCACGCGCCAAAGCAAAAGGTTACAAGCTCAAGTGGTGTCTCACCTGTTAACGGCAATTCTTCCTCCCCCAGCGACTTGCCATCAACGTACACGGAGCTCTTGTTGCCTTGCAGCATGAGTGCCACTTGGTATTCTTTCTTAAGCTCCCAAGTGCCACTTTTTGGTTTCTTCTCGTATTCGAATATCGTCACCCACTTTTTATCCGCCGTATACAGGATTCCCATGGTATGCGTGGAATTAGTTTCCCCCAAAATCGCACCCAGTAGAGGAGCGTCTGCAGTCGGAGCCTCTTCGATTGTCACCGACGCCACAAGTGTGAAGTTGTGGCTCAAGGATACATGACGCACATTATTAGCCCAAGTGTTCACAGGCCACATTGCCCCGGAGCCAGGCTCCGTCAATTGAAGCCCATCATCGACCTTCTTCGCGTTCGTCACCGTTGCATTCAGGCAAAGGTACTCGTCGTACCACGTGTCATCACTGGCCGCATCGGACAATACCGCCACCAGACCCACCGTGGGTATAGACAACCCGGAGAAGAAAACGTCCTTTTGCGCCCAGGTCTTCAGGACAAACTTGATTTTATTCAGTTCCTCCGCCAAGTGGGAAAGTGAAATGGCCCTGCCTTCATAATCGCCCCTCCGTCGTAAAAGATGCAAACTGCCATCCGAGTACAGCAGGGTGCTGGCGAGCATCCAATTCGCAGCAGCATCCAAGCCAACCGGTCCAACAGAAAACGAGCGGTTGTTGTCCGTCACCCAAACGTAGAGCGCATTGGCCTCCTCCTCCCTCGAGAAGTTCCCTCTCTGAGTGTACAGCATGACCTTCCTGCCCTCAATGGTCGCGGTGATGAGGGCATCCACGTGCAAGTTCAGATCCCGAAAACTTGATTGTGAGTTGACCCACACGCCTGGAAGCGTCCCGATGGCCTCCGTCCACGCTGTCCCCATGTCACGCGACTCGTACACCCTCTGTTCGTCCTCGCAGTCAACAATCATGAGAAGTGATCCCTCCCACTCGGTGATGCGGGGTGCAAAGCATTTCGCAGGGGAAACGCCTGTTGAGAGCGACCATTTTTCGCCGTCTTCCTTCGAGTAAATGATCATGGAGTAAAAGTCACCATTTCCGCTCTTCGCCATCACAGGAAACACAATGGTGCCGTCCTCCATCAGAACACCTGAGCCACCAGCGGCAACAAACTCCTTCAAGTTACCTTGGTGAGCAGTCATAGTACTCCCGCTCAATGGAGATCTGATTGGGCCCCATTCGATCCGTTCACTCAGTTTGCCACCCGTAGGATTCGTGACCTCACCAACAACCAGTTTCAGCTCAAATTTGCCCCATTTCCAGTTCCCACCACTTTCATTGTGCACATCAAAGCCTCCCGCAAGAAGAAACACCTTATTGCCCTTCATGGTGGTGGTGGGGCGGAGCACAACATCCAAACCCTCATTTCCCTCCGCTTTACCAAGCACAGTGTGTGCCCTCCATTCTTCCTTTTTGACCTTTTCAACAAGAGTGGGCCATTCCCACGCAGAGTCGATGTACCCCGCAACAACATCAGAAGACGGCTTACCTAATGGAGCACCTTGATATTCGGTTTCCATGTGACCCTCGGCAAAAGCAGCAATTACTCCACCAGCACTGACGAGAGAGGGTGAAACAAATGCATCCCGCTTCGTCCCTTGAGACGTTCCATCTTTCGGCAGCATCTGCGTCTTCTGCGGCACAAATAGAACGACCGTATGAGGCAATTGCGCATTCCCCGAATTACTCGTCACGGCGTTCGAAGCCCCACCAGTGCCGCAGCACACCATCACAACGACGAGGAGAAGCAGCACCGCGGAAGCAAACACACGCCGGGACATGTTAGGCCTCTGCGGCTCACTCTCTCTTCCCTCCCTCCTCCTTCCGCTGGATCCGGTCACACGGCGACGGTAGTCTGTGCGGGGTGCCATGACTGCAGCAACACGTGAGAGCATATAAATATATATGTGTGTGTGGGCGGTGTGTGTGCTGTTGGTCCTTTCAGGGTCTTCAAGTTTCACAGTGGCGAGTAGCGCTTGTTTGCTTTCACTCCTAGTATGTCGGTATGCATGAGGCGGAGAAGGACAACAGCGGCAATACATCAGACACGTCGGCGGGGTTAGAGCGGAGCACCCACGCAAAGAGAGGGACACAAGACAATCCGGAAGGGACAGCACGGAGGACCACCGCACACAGAAAAGAGCAGCAACACGGCAAGCCACGGCGGGCCGTCGGTGTGTGCGGGCCAGCCCTCACGCGGTGCAACACGCCTCACACCCAACAGGGAATGACAGACAGACAGGCGGAGGGAAATGAATGGATGCCGTCAAGACGCACTCACAATCAACATGGCCCGTGAGCATGCGGCCACTCCACGCAGGAACACAGGAGAAAATGATGACAGGGGAAAAGCAAGAAGCAGCACAAACACACGGAGGGAACAAACACCAGTCGCAGGAAAAGCACCGCCACGGCCCTCGCCCTGGCCGGCAACTCCACACCAGCCATCACAAACGCACCATCGCAGTGCTGCCAGTCCGCGGACGAGAGGATTCGGCCCTCCACAAAAGGGAGGCACACACCGCCAGCAGCCACCCACCAATGGACGAGGATGAGAAGAGACCCACCGCCACCGCCTCCAGTTCAGTCCCACGGAAAACGGGATACAGCCACAGCCCCGCAGCCAACACAGCGCACGCGGAGCAAGCAGTCACCCAAAGAGCCACACGCGGAAGCGATTCCTCATCCATCCATGACGCGGCGCCTCACCCCACGCGGTTACACAGAGTTCGCCATTTCCTCAATAGAACTTATTCGTCGTCCATCCCCTAAAAATGCTTCTGTTAGTGATGGGCCTTGGAACACAATAGAAGAAAATGGACAATGCAGTAGTACTGCGACACCGCCAGCAACAATGATGCGCTCATACCGGGGCAATTCTCCTATTATGCCTCGTACCCACACACACAATAAACACAATATATAAAAACCACCCAATGTTTTCACCAGAAAACAAACAACCCCACTCCCTCCCTAATTTATTCTGCCACTGTTATGTTCGATAGCGTTGGACAGTTCTGAAATCTGTGCGATATACTGCCGTCTGGTGCTGGCGCACCCGCACCGTATGCACACAAAAAAGTATCCACAAATATATAAATCCCACAACATTTTTTTACCAGAAATCAAAACTACCCCTTTCATTCCCTAATTCGTTCTCCTATTACGTTTTTCCTCACCTCAGAGAGCTTCGCCCATTCTAAGCTCTCCGGATGATATTGCTGCTACGTACTGGTGCACCTCTTCCTCCCAGAACGCCGCAACCTCTCGGTTTTCAGCGCGACTCACATTATTGGAATCGACGACATCACATCTCCGCCAGTCATCCATCGGCGTGCTGTCTGCGTGCTGCACGTAAATAATCTCCCACGACATGTCTCGGGATAACTCCTCCCAACCATTAAAATATGCCGCCAGACACTCAGTGAACTGCCGCACAGTGCTGGTTGTCGTGTGGTGCCCACCCGCCGTAGCCATCCGCAGCCCAACCAGCGTCATTGGATTTGTGTCCACAAAGAAAAAGCCGTCCACCAGCGGAAAGTTATGGACTTTAGGCTCATACAGCACCCAGTGGTCCATAGCAACCGGATTGGAAAGACGTTCCGGTGGCGGTAAAACCTCTTTTCTGGTGAAGCTCGTGTCTGAGTGCTCCTTCAGCGCACAGCTGTGTGGCCCACGTCGTCCTGGTGGCCTCAGTTCCCTGATTTTGAGTCTTATCGCACGCAGGAAATCCTCATTCAAAAATGCGGATACGGCATACTTTTCAATAAGATATGGTGGGACATAATCCCAGAACCTCAGAACGAAAAAAATAAAATCGGACTGCTTCATTTCATTCTCCAACCGGGACAGAGTTTCACGTTCGAGGTGGGGAGATATCAATACATTCAGAGGCGACTCAATGCTGTTTCCTCGTCGTACTCGGACAACCCTCACAAGCTTTCGAGACAAGTCACTGTCATTGGACGAGTAACAGCAGCCAATACCCAAATTACGCTCTAATTCCGAGGCGGTCGACCCATCCACGGCCTGCTGACACGCTTTGATGCGGTCATCATATGCCTGTTTGCCAAATATGAAGCGGAGAATTGGTCCCACGTTATTCATGCAACCCCTCACCTCCTCCCAGTACTCCGCTTGCTCCTGCAGGGGTCGATTGCGCTTCATCCAAATGCACATTGCCCTCACATCGTTTTCTTCGGGACAATTTGTTACGATTGCAGTAGCGTCCATTTTTTTTGTCCACCGTTCATATTCGTTTTTGTCTGGTGGTGTCACCACAATCATGCCCCATCCCTTGCAAGGCAAACCAGCAGCCGGTTGATGAAATGCCAATGCCGCATCGTAGATAATATACCCCTTCACCCCACGCAAAGAAAAAGCGTTCACAACATTCTCAATCCTGGGGTCACCCTTGTATGTTGATACCGTTTTGGTGATCTTGTCAAACAGGAATGATTGACTCCCAATAAAGTACGCAACCATTGGGAGCTGCTCGACATCGCAGTGCAGCAGCTGGTAGAGGAGGTACGAGCCGGCAGCCATCGATTTCCCGATCCCGGCCGTCCCAATCAACACACGCCGCCTAGGCTTAAAGTGGGTCCCACGGTGACTGCTGAACCACGCGGTTACATCGCCCTTAACAATCTGCCACGCTCGCTCCACCTCGCAGATTACAAAAACGTCCTTAGGAAGATCCTGTGTCGTATGCCACGAGTACGGCCATCCCTTCTCCGAGGTGAGCACCATCTGCCTAAGAAGTGCTGCACCGGATCGCCGCACACCGTCATCCTTTTCGAGAGTTCGGCCAACTGCCTTGTACGTCCATGAGTGCGGTGGTTCACCCTCCCTCACCTCCATTCCCGTCCCCTCGCCGCCAGAAACCTCCACGACATGATGCCACCTCGCATTGTACACAGACTCGTAGCATCCCTCCAGGTATATCGGCGCACTCATCGTCATTGAGCTCATCAATTCAATGAAGGCTGCATCCAATAAACGTTTAGTGATGCCATCAACACTTCTTTTTACCTCCTCGGCAGCTAATGACCACTTCAGTAGATTGTCCACACCTTTCTCGCAAAGGTCGTCTGCATCTTCCTCCATATCCATTTCCTCCCTCACAGCCCTCTCCATCCTCTTGTAACGATCGGATGTCTGCATTTCGAGCAGTAAAAACTTAGCGCGAATATACCTCGCAGAATCCTTTATAAACTCCTTCAGCAAGACATTCTGATTGGCGGGCAAAATGCCCATGCCGTCCAACTCCATCGCAAGAAAATCATTCAATTGCATGTCCATGACGCGAACCCTTCCTCTAAATAGCACATCTTTGATCGTGGTGGCAACGGTCAATTCTACTTTTTGCCACCGCCTTTCCCTTTCTTCCGCCCAACGCCTTTCTTCCGTCTCACGCCTTTCTCCTCACAGCACCTGAGTGAGAACTTCGTTTAGTTTTCTCCTTGTAACAGGAGTGACCGTATCCTTTCCTTCATAGTCCCTCCATTGCTTAAGAGAGTACACACCCTCGTGGTGAAGCCTGTGTACATCTTCTTCCATATCCATTTCATCCCTCACAGCCCCCTCCATCTCCGCATAAGCATCGGATGCCTGTATTTCGTTCAATACTCCCGCATCGCGGATATACCTCGTGGGATCAATAAAAAAATCCCCCAGTAAGACATTCTGATTGGCGCGCAAAATGCCTCTGCCGTCAAATTCCATCGTAAGAAAATCATTCAGCTCCATTTCATTGACGCGAACTCTTCCTCCAAACAACAAATCTTCGATCATATCATATAAGTTAAATATTACTTGTTGTTGGTCCCGCCTTGCCCTTTCTTCCGCCTTCCGCCTTTCTCCTCTCAGTACCTGAGTGAGAACTTCGTTTAGTTTTCCCCTTGCAGCAGGAGTGACCGTATCCTTTCCTTCATAGTCCCTCCATTGATCAAGAAAGTACACATCCTCATGGTGAAGCTTATTAATGGCCTCCAATAGAATCTTCCTTTTCTCCAGCTCTTGGTACGCAGTTAAATTAAAAATTCTTCTAAGAAGCCGCTGGTCTTTTAAGTAGGCATTGGGTCTCAAAAAAAACGCCTCCATCGTCACTTTGTGGTCTTCATCAACAGCCGCCGTGTCGCCCAAGTAGCTCCGAAGGAATTCATTCAGCTTCATGTTGCTCCTGTTAGTGCTTCCCTCCCGCAGGATGTCCTTTACAGTGCTGCTCATGGTCCACTGCGGTCGATGCATTTCCTCCGCTCTTCTGCGCGTCTCATCGGGTTCATCTGTGTCATCCTCAGACTCCGACCTCGCTCTCCTCTGACCATCTCCCTGCGGCACAGCAGACGCTTGATTTCCAGGCATTGTTTCCCCTTGTTTTCTTGGTTGGATCGAGTTAAAGCTGAACACTGACCAACAAACGAGAAAAGAATAAGAAAGAAGATAATCAAAGGAATGACTGGCAGCCACAACAAAAAAAACATCCACACAGTATTCGATGCACACCACATGCAAAAGGACCACCAAAACGACGGAAAGTGGGTGCCATCCACCCAGCACAGTGTTGGTGAGAGCAAACAATAACAACGTGGTGCGCGCGGAGGGTTCGTCCACGCATCCCGCTCGCCACGGTCCCGCACCCGTGTGGAACCGCCGACACCGCACACACTTGACAAGAGGACGTGGGCACATAAACCCTGACAGAAGCACAAATCATACACGCCACAACAGCGGCGCATCATGGTAAGTTCCAACACAACAGAAAAGAGTACAAATTGCACATTTTATGAAAAATATCTGCAATGCGCGTGTCAAAAAAGAGTGCCGTGACGCCGCCTTTCATATTGCATTCGCCATTCACGTATCACTGGGAAGCACGCAGCCACCACTCCTCCGT